ACAAATTCTGATATCTTACTTGATGTGCATTGATTTCTTATTCTTTTACTTCATCTGCTTTTGAACATGATACATCAAAAAGGAGGTTAATTTTCATGTGGGGTGAACATGAATCATGAGCTGTTGGGGTTCTTATTAAAATGCCACTGGGTCCCCAGTCTGACCTACCACACCAATTATTTTGAGCTGCTCAAGGCCTAGAATTGATTTGATGGTGGAACATTTGTATCTAGTAGCCCATCTAAAGAGCAGAGGAAAGAATAACACACAATTAAGGAATCAGAGCAATCGTTCAGGGAGGTTTTGGAACACCTGCATTGCCAAGTTTAGAGAGTTGTGACTGATAGATATATCTATCTCTCCCTCTTGAAAAACACCCTTGACTTAATTGGCATTGACGGTACTCTGTCTGTGCCTTTGCAAACACAGGAGCCCCTGCCTGGAGCAGAGTCCATTCTAATTTGGATGTCGAGTCTTCTAATTGTGGTATCTGAGCCAGACACATGAAGAATGCTGCTTGCCTTCTCCTGACCATTCAGTCCTGCTGCTTCCATGAAACCTTTTCTGCCTTGCCTCATTAAAAGACAATTTGGTCTCTTTGTTATTGCAAATGCCTTTCTTCTCTCCTGGAAACATTTGTTCATGAAAGAAAAGGTTTAACCCAGTAAAGCAGCAAGATATGGTTCCAAGGGACACTGTGCCTTCTCAAGCACTTACCTTACATTTGAGGGAATATTTGTGAAGTGTCCCAAAATGTGTGAATAACCCCAGAATTTTATGAAATCATCACACCTATGTGGGCATTTATTACATCCTAAAAACAAAGGCATCTGGTCAACTTGAAGCGTGGTGACCTGAGACAAGCAGCTGGGGGTCTTGAGTAACAACCTTTTGCTCAGTTCCTGGCATGCAACTTAGTTGCTGGTATGACTCCTGCTTCCTGTTAGATCAGGCACTGCCATGAGGCAGAGTGGAACTGGGGGGCGTCCCATGACTACTTACCCTTTACTCACTCCTTGGTATGCAGCTATACAACTCACTTCCTAGTTTGTAGCCATGTCATATCTGACCATGTACAGCTGCCAGTGCAAACCCATCCAGAACCTTGTAGAAACTAAAACTGTATATAAACCGCTGACTTCCTATAAAGAGGGTTCAGCCTTCGGATATGAATCCAGAGGCAGCACCGGTGCAATAAGCCTGCTTCTTGTTAGCCCTGGTGTCCTTCCTTTATGCCATATAACAAACTAATTTTGGGAAATATCAGGGTAAATAAAATTAAACAGGGTCTTTACTGCAGGATTTCCTCAACTTCACCATGATCAATATTTGTGGCTGTAAGAGGGGACCAAAATGTGCAGTGACCCCCAAATACAATGAAGTCCTTTCCATAAACCATGTCCCAAGAATAAGGGTCCTCAGAACATCAACTATGTTTTACTGATAGTTAACTTATAAACTGATAATAGGAAACCACATAAAGTGTTATATGCTCACATGGAGTAGCATGCTAATTTTTTTTTTCTACAGTGTGATGTTCAGTTAAAAAATATGTATTAAAGGGCTATGACAGACACATTAAGGACAGAAAATTTGAGTGAGACAGTTCTTAAAAATGGAAACCACCAATGATAAGTGTGAATCAACCCAATAACACGAGCCCATTAATTCTCAGTCCTCACCAATTGGTTGTGATGCTTGAAAATGAAAACAGAAGCAAATACTATCTTACTTTTGTTATGTTGGAAACACCAGAAGATAGAAATCGAGAATGGCTGTAAAATAATTGACAGCCCATGTTGATTTACAGTGTTCCACACCTGAAACTTAGAAAATATTATATCACAATGTTTCTTCAATTAAAAAAAAAGTCCAATTGAGGGATAAGTTTAAATAAGTAACAATAAAACAATGAGTTACTTTAATTTTCCACTATGGAAAAAAAAGGCAGCATTGATAATTCAATTTTTGTCTATGTTCTCACTGACCCCACAATTTAATATCTTAGTATGGATTCATACATTTTACACACAAAAATCCCAAAATGAAATATTTAGTAGATAATAAAATAGAAATGTAGACCAACAGTAAATAGAAAAAAGAACCTTTTAAAAAGCCTTTTTTCCCAATAAATTGATAACCCAATTATTTGGTTATTATGTGAATGTTTTTTAAATGGCATTTTTTACTCCATAAATCTCATATAGTTCACATTTGAGCCAATATTTGAAAGTGAGCATGTCTATCCTGTACGTCTTTATCCTTTTTGACCAGGGACTTGTTACATTTCATCAAGTTTTAATTCCTCCAGGTAAATGCCAATAAATTTGTATTTTGTTTTATTCATAGGCCCTCTGAATGTATGTGGGTTATATTTTTAATGATAACAAAGCAATATAATTTAATGACTCAGTTTCTGGAATCTTATGAATAAAATATAAAAGATGAATTTAATTTGCAAGCCATTAATGAGGAGCTCTTGTGCATCTCCTCCTTCTGATATCTTTTAAAAGATATCTAATTATTCTTACTCATTATTATGAAAGCTGTAAAAGTCAGGTCATATATATTTGCATATGTTTTCTTTTATTTTTTAATCACTTTGAAAGACTGCTAAATATTACTTTAGAGATGATTCAAAGAAAAAGGAGCAAACTAGGTCTGCTTTAAGCTAATCTTACATACATATTTATCTGTCCTTTGCATGTGGCCACCCTGGTGTTGTCTTGGGTTGTTAATCTTTCATCTTCAGATATCAGTGATGTGAGAGCAGCCTTTGCTTTTCTATACTTGGATAACCCAAAATGAAGTTAAGAAAATTAGGGTTTTTTCAGATGAACAGTAGCCAAGATGTTGGCTCAGATTGTGTTCTAATTCCAAAATCTCATACATCAAAATCATATTCAAATGATTTATTACTCAATTCCAAACACTTGGGAGACCTCCTTCAGTGTGGCTGAACAGTTCAGTTTCTCACTGTGCAAATGTCCTCTGTGTTTGTGCAATAGCAGGAAAGTGATATGTAGGAAATACAAGTTTTTAAATCATTTTAAGTAATTATTTTATATCTTTTTTACGTCATTTTTTCATTTTTTCACAATGTATGCATTTTCATCTTGGTTATAGTCCCCATACAATTCCCACCCCCTTTTTCTGACCCTAATCCCTCCTCTCCACCCCACCCCCTGTTGTGTGTCTCTGGTTTACAGTTGCTTGTTGATTTTGATTTTTACTTTATTATAATTAGTCTTTTTCCTGGTCCCTTATTTAGGTTTTCTAAATTCCTGCTATGAGTGAGACCATCTGGTATTTTTCTTTTTCTTTCTGGCTTATTTTATTGAGCATGATCCCTTCCAGTTCCATCCATGTTGCTGCAAATTGCATGAGTTTATCTTTTTTGACTGCTGAGTAATATTCCATTGTGTATATGTACCACATCTTCTTGATCCAGTCATCTATTTTTGGACATGTGGGTTGTTTCTATAACTTAGCTATTGTAAATAGTGCTGCTATAAACAGAGAGGTGCAGGTGCCCTTTTGAATTGATGATTCTGTATCTTCTGGGTAAATACCTAGGAGTAGAATTGCTGGATCATATGGAAGCTCCATCTTTAGCAGGTTGAGGAATCTCCACACAGCTTTCCATAGTGGTTGGACCAGTTTGGACTCCTACCAGCAGTGCAGGAGAGTTCCTTTTTCTCCACATCCTCGCCAACATTTGTTGTAGCTAGTTTTTTTAATATGTGCCATTCTCACTGGTGTGAGATGGTATCTCATTGTAGTTTTGATTTGCATTTCCCTGATTACAAGTGATGTAGAACAGTTTTTCATATGCTGTTGGCCATTTGCATTTCCTCTTTGAAGAAGTTCCTTTTTAGCTCTTCTGTCCATTTTTTGACAAACACTACATGACATACACCTCAGCAACATCTTTAAAGACTCATCACCCAAAGCAGTGATAGCAAAGGCAAAGATAAACAGCTGGGACTACATCAAATTAAAGAGCTTCTGTACAGCAAAAGAGACAGTAACCAAAACAAAGAGACACCCCACTGACTGGGAGAAAACTTATGCACACAACACTAATAATAAAGGACTGATCACAAAAGTCTACGAAGAGCTGAAGAGACTCATCATTTTAAGTAATTCTTATTGAAAAAACAAGTATTAGCTACCCTTTCTGAGCACCTACCAGGTGTATTGTTCTAGGCATTTTACAAGTAACACCTCATTTTTCATGCAAAACTACTCATGTGAAGTAATAGTTGGTATTATCTCAATTCATGGATGAGAAAAATAGAGAACAGAGAGAGTTCAGGTACTTTGCCGGACTGTTACATAAGTAGAATGAACAGAAAGAAAGCTCCTCCTAAATGCACTGAGCATTTATAACCTATACAATACATTTGTACTTCTTAATTATTGGTATTGATGCTTTGGATATGGTTTTTGAAAATAAATGTCAGGCCATCAGATTTGGCAAGTCCAGCAATGTATATCACAAAGTGATAATGCACTTCTTCATAATCACTTGAAACCCAGCTATACATGGAGTGGAGGGGGGTTTAATTGAATTCAGTTCTGTACTGATATCTTAAATGATTTTTATCTTCCTTTGCATTCTCATCGAGTACAGTCCAGGGTTGTGTGGTAACATGACAATATGTAAAAGGAGATTTATAATCAAATAAACCTAGGTTCAAACCTTACCAACACCACTTCCTAGTTACAAGGTGTCATGCAAGCTGCTCTCTTCTCTAAACCTCTGTGGCGTCATGGGGTTATAATTAATTATACTTCCCTGGTGGGAACTTTGAGAGGATTCAATATATTTATATACTTTCAGCACTTAGCATGATACCTAACCCATAATAGCCTCTAGCTGTAACTGTTATCACTGACACAGTTCATTTTCTAAACAGGTATTCTTTCTGTTTCATTTGTGTGTTTTCTGTTTTGTGTATCTGTCTGTCTGTCTGTCTGTATTCTTCCTTTTACAGATGGATACACCACTGATGACATTGAATTTTACTGGCGTGGGGATGATAATGCTGTCACAGGAGTAACGAAGATTGAGCTTCCACAGTTCTCTATTGTAGATTACAAACTCATCACAAAGAAGGTCGTTTTTTCTACAGGTTTGTGTCAGGGAAGAGGGTTAAGGGAAATGGGTCTTCAATCACATTTTGTCAAGAGGATTTATTTTTATCAGGATCAGGTCTCAGGAAGGGATGGTGACTCTAGAATATATATCCATGAAAAGGTCTCTGCTGCCCCTCAAGCCTAACACTCATTTGGAACCTATTGGATTATTTTCCACAAGGCAACACAGCTAGTTGAGACAGTTAAACTATAGGTCTCTCATTTGCAAGAGAAGGGACTAGTTGTTAGAGACAGATTACAGGAAGAGAAATGATGACCTAGAAACATCCTCCCAATTTTATGCTTCTTACAAAATTGCTCATGATCCTTTGATGCATGGTGGGGATAGCTTTATCACAGTCCATGCTAGTCTCACCAGACTGCAATTCTCTAAAGACAGTGGGATGGAAGAATTTCCACTTTTCCTTCCAGGGTAGGAATTTCCTTCTGCGGCCTTATCTCTTACTTGGGAGCTAGACCTCCTTCCAGGTGTTGAGATCACCCTGCTGCTTTCACCTACCTTTCTCTTCCACTGCAGAGGCTTTAAGTTTTCTTAACACAAATTTTTAACCAAAAGTCCAGGAAAGTAGTTATTTGCTACATACTCATGAAGAGAAAAAATAGTAAGTCCCCAGGAATATTCCTCTTCCTATTTTTCATATTGAAATGAATTCACCACACAGAAATTGCTAGTCCTGTAACTCAAGATTTTGAATTGTCCTGCTGCTAAGGATTCAGGTACTTCTTGTCCCTGAAAAAACTACTTAAAGCAAGAATTGTATGACATGGAATACAAAGTAGACTCCAGCTTTATAAAAAGAATAACAACCCAAACTTTTCTAAACTTGAGTTCTTCTGAATCCCCAAGATGCTTTGAATCCCTACACAAAACTTCTTTATTTTAATATTAAAATACTTGGTTTTGCCCAAGAAGGCTGGGCTAGATTTTCTTTCAATTAGTAAGCTATCTCCCCCACATGCTTCATTAAGTTGAATCTTTTATGTTCTAAGACTATGTTCTTTACCTACCTCATTTAAAGAGAAATTCCTCAGATCACCACATTCAGTGGACCCAGCTTCAAGGTCTAACCCTGCAGTTTTATCTCCCACCAATTAGTAAGGATCAGTGGTTCTCCACCTTTTGCCATGCAGAGGTCTCTTTAGAACCTTGATGGGAATAATGAAATTAAAAAGAGAAACAGTCTCGTGAAAACCTTGAGTATATTCAAAACTGAGCAATTAAAAACTGGGTATTCTAAGGCTTCTTTTGCAGAAGAGATAAAATAGAATATAGGGAAGGAAGGGAAACTGTATGGGCCTTTAAAAGACAGTAACATGTAACTATTTCTTGATAATGATGATGTTCTAAAATTGTCTTTTTAGGTTCCTATCCCAGGTTGTCCCTCAGCTTTAAGCTTAAGAGAAACATTGGTTACTTTATCCTGCAAACGTACATGCCTTCCATCCTCATCACTATCCTCTCCTGGGTCTCCTTCTGGATTAATTATGATGCTTCAGCTGCAAGAGTGGCATTAGGTAGGTCATTCTGTAACTATTTGTGAAGCTTTATCTATGTGTGTGTGTGTGTGTGTGTATGTGCATGTGCACGTGTGCGTGCACGCACTTGTGCACATACTTTTCTTACCCTGCAATTTGAGATGCCTGGTGATACTGGACCACATCCATTACAAGAATTTGTCTGAGAGACTTGAGTGTTCTGATTCAGCATTAAATCAATTAAACACATATTAACATTCTTTCCTGTCAAAATTAGTGAACTGTATAGCTGTTGGTAATGAAATTAGTTCCATCAGTTTGATATTTTTATTGAAACATATTTCATGCCATCCTCCCTGATAATTATTCTGTTTGTATCCATACTTACTTACCTGGGAAGACTCCTCTTCTACCTTTTTGTCTTCAAAAAAGGAAATAAGGAAATGCATTGTGTACCAAGTGGAGAAGCAGACAGGATTCTAAAGTCTTAGGACTTTGGAGTTGCATGGCTGAGGGAAAGAGAAAACAAAGAATGTTGGGAAATTTTATCCATAGATTTGCTTATCTTCTGGTTGATTTTATCTGTTAAAACATCAGAGAAAGAACATAAATTATTTTCATGAACACTTTTTATGTTACTAATGCTAGATATAGTAAATTATGACCTTTGTACAATTTCTATTATTTTCAGTTCTGACTAACCCTTTAAAAATGTTGAATCGTTAACTCTCCCACTGTGAGATCTCAATTCTGTCATTACTTGCTTAGTGAAGTCATTCATTTATTTATTCAGCAAATACTTTCAGAATACCTTCTGTTCCCCAAACATGCTAGGCACTGGAAGTAAAGCATTGTTCTTCTGAAAGTTATATTCTGGCTGTTAAAAATGAGCAATAGCTTTCATACACATACACATTATATAATATGGCAAGTCTATAGTGGAAAATAAGCCAGGTCAGGGGGTTGGAAGTTCCGGGGACTTTAGTTTAGACTCACAAGGGTAGACCTCATTCTGAACTGTCAACAGAACAAAGACGTGAAGAAGATAAAGAACCACAGAGATATCTGGGTGTGAATATTCCAGGCCATGACACAGCCCTGAGGTCAGAATGTGCCAAGCATGGCAAGGGGGCCAGTAGAAATGTGCATGATGAGTTCAGGAGGAAAGGTAATTACAGGGAGAAGGGACAGGATTCTGAAGCAGTTCAGGGGCCCTGATAAAGACTGTGCTTTTATTCCATGTGAAATTAGAGTATCATTGAACAAAGTAGCATGATTTGATTTCAGTTTTAAATGGATCATGTCAGCTGCTGTATTGAGATTCAATTGTGGGGGTTGCAGGATGGAGAGAAGTAATGATCTCCCGGGCCCAGCCAGGTCCCCTGTGATATAGTGTCTTAAAATAGCATAGAGCTCCCCCTGTGTACCAGTTTCAGGTATAGTTTATATTTATTTAGTTGATTATTATCAACCAAATCCTTTTCCTGAAGGTGTGGAAAGATCAACTGAAGAAAGGTCCCTAACTAATTTTGCTTTATTATTACATCTATAGTGTTTTAACACAGCAAGTGAAGTGTGTTCAGTAAGTATTTGCTGAATAAAGAAATGAATGGAGAACAGGGATCTCTGCATCTGGAACCCGCCTAGACTGTGTGGAACTGGGAAAGGGCTGTCCCCACAGCCAGAGGTGAGCTGAAGACCTCCGTAAGCCAGGCCCCACCTGGCAGAGAGTTGGAGCCCAGAGGGGGATCCAGTGATTTGGAGCCCACTGGGTGATCCAGCCACAGCCAGGGCAGTCTGTGGGACCTTAAGACATACCTCTGGAATTAAACAAATAAGGAGGAGATTTTCTGGGACTGTGACCATTAACATATCCATAGTACCACTGCCCTACAGACTTCTGGCATAGCAGCACTGGACTCGATTGGACCACTAGTTTCTGACATCCAGAAAGAGCACACCAAAGAGATGCCGCCCAGCACCAGCAACACAGTGTCCCAACACACAGGACAAATTAGAAAACTAACAGCAGGGAGAAGAAAAATTACAAGCAACCGAGCATATCCCCAGGGAAAAGACACACCACAAAAAGACAATCAAACACCAGACTGCAACATAGTGACTTAGAGGAACTTACGAGTCTTCCTGATAGAGAATTTAAAGTCACTGTGATTAAAAAACTGAAAGAAGTAGAAAATGATACAGAAAAATAATCAACGATATGGGAAAAATAGTCAATGACCACAAGAATAAAATTGAGTCCCTAAAGAGGGAAGTGAAAGAAATGCAGGAGCTCAAAGGATTAAGGGAGGAGCTAAAGAACTCTCAGAAAAGCAATGAAAGCAGAATAGATGAAATGGAAGCACAAATAACTACTCTCAAAGACACAGAAATAAAAAGAACCAAAACAGAAAAGGAAAGGGAAGTACAAAGGAAAAAGAATGAAGAAAGGCTTTGGGAACTATCTGACTCCATGAGGAAAGGAAATACAAGATTATAGGAATCCCAGAAGGAGAGGAGAGAGACATAGGAACAGAGGAAATAGTCAAGGAAATAATTGAAGAGAACTTCAATTAAGAGAACAGCAAGACACATAATAGTAAAGTTCCCATATATGACAAGCCCATAGCCAATATCATTCTCAATGGTGAAAAGTTAAAAGCATTTCCATTAAGATCTGGAACAAGACAAGGATGTCCACTCTCACCACTGCTTTTCAATATGATTCTGGAAGTCGTAGCTAAAGCAATAAGACAAGACAAAGACATACAAGGAATCCAAATAGGGAAGGAAGAGGTCAAATTATCACTATTTGCAGATGATATGATACCACTATTTGCAGATACATAGGGAACCCCAAAAACTCCACAGAAAGACTAATCAAACTAATCAATAAGTTTAGTAAAGTAGCAGGATACAAAATCAACACACAAAAGTTGGTAGCCTTATACACAAACAATAAATCTGAAGAAGAAGAAATCAAGAAAACTATCCCCTTTGTTATTGAAACAAAAACCAAAAAACAAATACTTGGGAATAAACCTAACAAAAGAGGTAAAGGACCTGTACAAAGAAAACTATAAAACACTGTTAAAATAAATAGATGAACACACAAAGAAATGGAAAGACATCCCCTGCTCATGGGTTGGAAGAATTAACATTATCAAAATGGCTATCCTCCCAAAAGCAATATACAGATTCAGTGCTATTCCAATAAAAATTTAAATTACATTCTTCAAAGAAATAGAACAAATAGGGCCTCCCTGGTGGTGCAGATAATTGAGCGCCACACTGTGAAATTGTCCGCAGCCTCTGCAGCACGGGTTCGATCCCGGCCAGCTGGCAAGATTCCCACATGGCGAAGCAGACCTCTTCTGTCTCACCTGCTGCTCCCCTCAGCAGTGTATTTCATCAGTCTGCCTGTTCTGTTCACCACTATCTTTCTGTTGAATCCTCTCACCCTCCTGCACATCTGGCCTGTACCGTGGTTCTTGTATAAATAAATAAATCTTAAAAAAAAAAAATAGAACAAATATTGATGAAATTCATATGGAGCCACCAAAAACTCTGAATAGCCAAAGTTCTCCTGAAAAAAAAAGAGAAGGGAATGGAGGTATCACACACCCAGACTTCAAACTATACTAAAAAGCCATAATGATCAAAACCACATGGTACTGGAACAAGATCAGACACATGGACCAATGGAACCAAATAGAAAATCCAGAAATAAACCCACAGATTTACGGTCAACTGATCTTTGACAAAGGAACAAAGAATATGCAATGGAGCAAAGAAAGTTTGTTTAATAATTGGTGCTGGGAAAACTGGGTCACTACATGGAAAAGAGTGAAGCTTGACTATTACCTCATACCATGCACAAAAACCAACTCAAAATGGATTAAAGAACTAGACATAAGACCTGAAACCATAAAAAAAAATAGAAGGCAATATAGGTGAAACACTTCATGACATATACTTCAGTAACATCTTTAAAGACTCATCACCCAAAGCAGTGATGGTGAAGACAAAGATAAACAGCTGGGACTACATGAAATTAAAGAACTTCTGTACAACAAAAGAGACAGTAACCAAACAAAGAGACACCCCAACTATTGGGAGAAAATTCTTGCACACAACACTAATGATAAAGGACTGATCACAAAAATCTACAAAGAGCTGACTCTCTGATGAGAGTCAGCAAAAACAAAGAAAATAATCCAGTCAAAAAATGGGCAGAAGAGCTAAAAAGGAACTTCTCCAAAGAGGAAATGCAAAGGGCCAACAGGCATATGAAAAAATGTTCAACATCACTTGCAATCAGAAAAATGCAAACCAAAACTACCATGAGATACCATCTCACACCAGTGAGAATGGCACATATTAAAAAAACTAGCTGCAACAAATGTTGGCGAGGATATGGAGAAAAAGGGACTCTCCTGCACTGCTGGTGGGAGTGCAAAATGGTCCAACCACTATGGAAAGCTGTGTGGAGACTCCTCAACCTGCTAACGATGGAGCTTCCATATGATCCAGCAATTCCACTCCTAGGTATTTAGCCAGAGGACACAGAATCATTAATTTAAAAGGGCACCTGCACCCCTATGTTTATAGCAGCACTATTTACAATAGCCAAGCCATGGAAACAACCCAAATGTCCAAAAATAGATGACTGGATCAAGAAGATATGGTTCATATACATAATGGAATATTACTCAATAATCAAAAAAGATAAACTCATTCCATTTGCAGCAACATGATTGGAGCTGAAAGGGATCATGCTCAGAGAAATAATCCAGAAAGAAAAAGAAAAATACCGGATGGTCTCACTCATAGCAGGAATTTAGAAAACCTAAATAAGGGACCAGGAAAAAGACTAATTATAATAAAGTAAAAATCAAAATCAACAAGCAACTATACACCAGAGACACACTACTAGGGGGGTGGGGGAGGGGGGATAAGGCGGGATTAGGGTCAAAATAAGGGGGTGGGAATTGTATGGGGACTATAACCAAGATGAAAATAGCTACATTGTGCAAAAATGGAAAATGATTTAAAAAACATATAAAATTAAATAATAATAATAAATCAATAAAATAAATTTTAAAAAGAAATGGAGTTTGTAATACTTTATCATGCCCAAGTGAAAATCTGTTCTCTATTTTATGTCTATTACAGGAATAATAAAGAATTTATGTACTTTTGAAAAGAAATTTTTGAAAATATCTTCAAAAAACAACAAAAAGTCTTTATGTGAACAATTTATGACTAGGTTAGAAATACCTTAAAGTGAAACTTAGAAGATAAATGGCAAAACCAGCTTTGTTAGTTTCGTGAGCTATATGTTGTACAGAATAATCTGTGGTCAAAATAGTGAAATTAGGAAACCTTTCAAAATGACTAATACTATGAAAAATAAAGATTGCAGAATTGAGAGACACCTAGATCTATAGAAAGATCAGGCTTTCTCTGGACATGCTCACCCTCAGTTGCTCAAGTTTATTGTTTTATGAGTATGTATAAGAACAAAACAAGAATTATGGTCTGATTAGGTAAAATTTAATCAGAAAACCATGATCCAAAAAAAGTCATAGAAATAAAACTTAACTTCTGGGATGAGTTATTGGGTGGGGTTTAAGGACACAGGTTTCTGAATCAGTAAGATCCCAGTTCAAATGCTAAATCTATAACTTCCCATCTGGGTGATCTTGACCTCTGAGCTCTACTTTCACATCATTCTCTTTGGTATAAAGCTGTACCTCATCATGCACAGGATGCCAGATTCCCAGTGCTTACCCCAGCAGATCTCTGTCTACCCCTTTACCTTTACAGCTTAGAACTCCTCACTGTTATACATGCTCACTCAGTTGGAACAATTATAACCTGACCTAGTGTGGCATGTCCGGTACAGAATCTTAGAATTCTTCTATCATAATCATCTATACATTATACGCCTAGTTGCCCAGTCCAAATTATTGCTTCTCTGTAACTTCCATCTCCAGTTTCCTAATTTTTTTAAAGATTTATTCATTTATTCATTCATTTATTTATTCATTCATTCATTCATTCATTCATTTATACAAGCACTGGGTACAGTCAGAAGCGCGGGAGGGCGAGAGGATTCACCAGAGCCAGAGCTGGGAACAGAAGAGGCAGAATGATGAAATACACTGCTGAGCGGAGCAGTGGGTCCAGCAGGAGAGGTCTGTGCGCCATGTGGGACCCTTACCGGGGGCCGGGGATCAAACCAGCACTGCAGAGACTGTGGGCAGCTTCGCAGCCCAGCATTCAACCACTGCACCACCAGGGGAGGCCCGCCAGTTTCCTAATTTTTAAAATCATTTGTCCACATCATCTATGTAATGCATTCAATGATTTTGAGGCTATTAAAAGGTAGTTTTGTTTATTTTCCCCTTCAGAATTTACTTAGATTATTCTGAAAGAAAAAATTTAGCTGGTTTATTCCTGTATTGTATAATTCCTTTCAACCACACTGCTATCAAATAATTATCCTAAAAATATTTTCTCCCTGCTTGAAGCATTGGCTCCACATTGTCTTCAGTTTTAAATTCATTAGACCGTTAGGTTCCATGTTGATGGCTCTCCATTATGCAGCTCTTATGTAATCTTCCCTTTCCCCACCATCATTGCCATCTTATCCCATAATGTACCCACATTGATTACCTTGAGATTCTTTTAATGGGCTAATGTACTGTCCACCTTTTTTATGGAAAGCTCTTTCTACCACTTAGGCCCACCATCACTCTTCTTTTTTTAAGATTTATTTATGCATACAAGAACTGGTGTACAGGCCAGAGGTGTAGGGGGTGAGAGGATTCATCAGAGACAGAGTGGGGAACACAACAGGCAGATTTACTGAAATATACTGCTGAGGGGAACAGCGGGCAAGATAGGAGAGGTCTGCTGTGCCATGTGGGTAGCTCCCTGGCCAGGGATTGAACTTGAGCTTCAGAGGCTGTGGATAGCTTCGTAGTGCTGTGCCTAACCCCTTGTGCCACCAGGGAGGCCCCAGGTCCACCATCACTCTTGATTGCATGTCCTTGGTTGCTTGGGCAGCTCCCACTCACCCTTCTGGACTCAACTCTGCTGTGTCCACTTCCTGCTCACTTCCCTGCTAACTTACTAGGCTGAACTGGCATCTTCTTAACACTCACCCAACACACCACATCTTCCACCACCTCTGATTCACATGTCTAGTCCCCCCTCACAATATAAAACTGTAAATGTAAATATATCTTTAAGGAACTGTTCCCCCATGATGTTGTTGACTGTGGATTGATGATTTACGCATCTCTCCAGGGCCCACCACAGGACTGGTTTATAAGTATCCAGTAAGTATTTGGGGGCATTTATGGATGAACAAGAGGTCGATTAACCTATTTACCTTCAAGTGCAATGTGGAAATGGGAATGTTATTACTCAGAGTCTCTCATTTTTTTCAGGAATCACAACTGTGCTCACGATGACCACTATTAACACCCACCTCCGGGAGACACTCCCGAAAATTCCCTATGTGAAGGCCATTGATATGTACCTGATGGGGTGCTTTGTCTTTGTTTTCATGGCCCTTCTGGAATATGCTTTGGTCAACTACATCTTCTTTGGGAGGGGACCCCAACGCCAAAAGAAAGCAGCTGAGAAGGCTGCGAGTGTCAACAATGAGAAGATGCGCCTGGATGTCAACAAGGTAAATTCAGAAGCCTTGCAGTCCTTGCTTCTTAAACTCATAGAAGAATGCGAGCAATATAGGCTAACAATCTTGTTTAACAGATGAGGAAACCAAGGCCCCGGGAAGGAAACAGATCCTTTCTCCAAATCCTACAGATAATTAGCATCGGAGGCACATGTAGTGCCCAAACTAACAACAGAACATCAGAGTGCCCATTTCATTAACGGGGTTGGCCAAACCATAGTCATCTAGAACCCCCTCCTTGCCTTCCTCAGATATCAGTATGATGTATACTATCATTTACTTTAAATTTTAATTTACATTTACAATTAATTGAAATGTTAAAAAGCTAATTTCCTTTACATTTATTCACTCCTTTTAAAATTGAATTTCATATCACTTAAAGCTATACCCCATCCTGGAAAATAATCTTAAATAGAAATAACTAAAGAAAAACCATGCTAATTAATGCTAGACAAAGGTCTTGGATCTGAGGTCTATATTCTCTTTGATTTTAAAAGGAGATAGACACATACAGAGATGTATCAAAGGCCCACCAGCTACCAACTGAGAATTTTTCCTGGAAGAAATCAGAAAGATCAAAGAGAAGTAGAGGGGAAAAGAAGGGCATTCTATTTAGGTGACAAAATAGTACTTAAACCTTGCATGTGTACCTCTTAAAATTATGGAAGCTTTTGACTCTCCAGGGGCACACAGGACCAGTCCCACACAACCAGTTCTTTAAGTTCTTCAAGTTCTTGTTCTTTAAGACAAGATTTCTCAACCAGGTGCCTACTAAATTACAGGGAAAACATTAAATAATAATGAGCCCTGGGGCCCTTCCCCAGAAATTCAGGCTGAGCGATTCTGAGGTTTACCAGGGGCATCATACTTTTTTAATTTCTCCAAAGGTTATTCTAATTTGCAGCCACAATTTAGAATATCCACCTTGAGACTTTTGACAAGGGTCCCAGAGACAAGGGTCCCACTTCTCTTTACTCCCCAAATGTGCCTTCTCCTGGTTTTCATTATAGAACTTTCTGTGTGAAACAGAATATTTGCATATGATTTTCTCATAGTTCATATTCAGACCTTTCATAATACACAAAGAATACAAGATCTTTTAAATATCTCTAGTGTTTGTAAAGTCGATTAACCATCACAATAATTATTTCATTGACATTTTAGTGTTTCTAACTTTGACCAAATTCCAATGATAGCATATCATAAATATTTTCTACCATTGAATTTTATTGGGAGCAAACCCCAGGAAAGCTTCTGATTTGCTAAACTTTCCCACATGTCCATAGGACTGGTACTTGATTCTGGACCATTCTCTAATCCAAGGCTCTAATCTCTAGTCTCCAATCCATTCCCAGGAGAAAATGTTTGTAATCTGCCAGTTTTAAATATGCCCTTGAAAATCTATGAACCCAGGTCTCGGATATTGTGTTCTATTTCCAATGCTTAATTTAAGTTTTCACCTCTTGAAATCTATCAATAGCATTTTGACTCTCTGAGTTTACCAACTGAGAGGATGCTTTTTAAACCCATTTTATGATTTTCCTGATATGGTATCCTTAGTAAAAAAGAGAAAATAAGCAATACACACACACACACACACACATATATATATATATATATATATATATATATATGCACACACACATAAATAAACCCTCTTGTAGGATGCCCTTTGAAACGTGTCCAAATCAGTTGACTGATGCAAAGCTGACTTAATAAGATAATATTCTGATCCCTTTTCACTTTCATCTACTCTGTTTTTTTCATACTAATTTACAATTAAATGATAAATTTAAGGCCCAGCAAGTTGTGGCTTTATAGCAAACTGAACCTGAAGAGCTTCAGATTATTTGAAAGTCACTGTATTGAGATGGTGGTGAAGAATGGTTCACTAGGCAGTCGCCCCATGGCTGTGAAGGTTGGAGCCACAATTCCCAGCACAGAATACAAGAGAACAGAAAAGATGCCTCGAGTTCTTCTAGTGCAGGGGCTCTCAAAACACAGGCAGTTTTGCCCCTCAGAGGATCTCTGGCAATGTCTAGATGTTTGTGGTTGTCAAAACCAGAAGAAGGGAATTGCTAAAGATGTCTAGTGGGCAGAGGGCAGGGATGCTGCTGAAGATCCCATGGTGCATTGATCAGCCTCTCCATAACAAAGAACTATCCAGCCCCAAGTGCCAGAATTGGTGAAGCTAAAAAACTCCGCTCTGGGGCCTCCACGGTGGCCTAGGGGTTAAGTCTCAGCACTACCATCGTGGCAGCCTGAGTTCAGTGGCCTGAGCTTGATCCCTGGCCAGGGAACTGACCCACTTGGCACAGCAGACCTCCCCTGTCTCACCCACTGTTCCCCTCAGCAGTGTGTTTCAGTAAATTCACCTGTTCTGCTCCCCACTCTGTCTCTGGTGAATCCTCTCACCCCCCCCACCCCTGCACACTTCCGGCCTGCACCCCAGTTCTTCTATGCAAAAACAAATAAATAACATGCTTAAAAAAAAACCTCTTACCCAGTTCCCTGTTTTCAACAATGATAAACTGAGGCCTACTCTTAAATTCTTTAAGCAAGTATTTCTTCTGCTTTCTTTGGCTAGCATGCATGACAACAAGAAAGCAGGAATTAGAATTTAGTATGTTTCTGAACAGTTATTTTGGAGTGAGTCAGTTTCAACATTACCTTCCACTTAATGGTTGTGTGGACATAGCCACAAAAAATCACCCTCCCTGGCCCTTCCGTTTCCTCATCTAAAAAATGAGCTGGTTTCCTCTCTCGTAAAGTTATTGTGACTATTATTTGTGAGATGTGTGGAAAGGATAACACAGTCTCCAGGGCAGGTATGTAAGTGGTAAATATTAATAAAGTATCACACTATTATTGATAGGCATTATTACCCTTTAAAATACAGTCTTCACATCTGTCAATGATGCTTGCTTCTGTATTTTATGTGCTTCACCACTTAGGATGCAATCCCATTCCTAAAGCAAGTATTACCCACAGAGAAATGTTTCAAGGCAGAAATTGTAAAGTCCAAATGATTTTCCACTGGTCTCTGCTGTAAAATCTATAGTAAACCAACTACTTTAAACTTGATAAACTATTGCTCAGACCAAAATACTTGCAGTCATCTGGATTAGATTAAAACTAAAAGGTGATCCTGTAACATCCTGGTTGCCCACAGTTTCCTTTTGAAGCCGGCATGGAAGGTTAAAGGAGATATGATTGCAATGGTTTTCTTTTGTATTAGTATCATGAATAATGCACTCTCTTTTTTTATCAAAAGTGTCCCTTCTTTTCAACTATGAATTCTAAAGTTGGTTTTTTTTTTTTTTTTTTTTTTTTTCAAAGATCAGGCCGGTATAATCAACCAAGCATTGTTGGCAGCTCAAAGAAAATTAGTCACTAGGAGAGGAATTGACTTTTTTACCTTCCTGTGATAGTTTCCTGAGACAGAAGCAGTCTGTCAGGTCGACTATAGTGATTTTTATACTGTGCTCTGTCCTGAGGTCAGGAAGAGAGAAAATGGGCAGCATGGTCTGGGAGGAGGGTGAGCTCAGTGCTGTGTCCCTGCCTTATTTACAAATTTCCAATCTCTTATCTCTATTCATTTTCCATGCATTTAATTTAACCATAGTAACTGCAACTCTTAAAACAATCTTATCCTACCATTTAGCTGAATCAAAACCTACGACTCTTAAAGACAGTAAAATATCCAAGATTGTAAAGTAAAACTGACAAAATTTCAGAGATGATCTAACTTCATTTTCGTATCTGATATATGTTCCACTGTGCTAGCAGGTGAAAGTATAAGATAAAAATTTTTAAATCATTCCTCATTAGTCCATATTTTCAGTTCAGTTGATTTCACCTGAAAAACCACCCACTTATCTACAAAGGAGAGGCTATGTTATCAGTTGTCTTCATGTGATAACTTGTAAATAAAATTAAATCTTGAAAAATAATCCGCAAACAAATAAGATATCTATTGAATACTTTTTCCCAAATGTCTTCTAAGTAGTTCCAAACTATATGATCATTATCCTAGCATGAAGAGATTCCTTCCTATCATCTCTTGCATTCTTCTATTTGTGTGTATGTGTGTCCTCATAGAATCTGCTCTTGAGTAATTTCACCCAGTTTTCTTGCTCAAGCTGTCAGGTTTTCAACTCTCCATTTATCTTTTAAGTTGTGTCTCCTTGTTCATTTTTCTGCCAGTAACTAAGTATATACATGTTTGAGAATTTAGTTATTCTTGTCTTTTCACCACCTTGATCTGGCATATCTGAAATGTTTCCAATGTCCTTAATATGTTCAGAGTCCCCAAACCACCATTTCTCCAAGTAAAGCTGCACCAAAAAGATCTGGGGGCACCCTTTATTCTGCTTTCAAGGATATGCAAGTATCAGTGTTGTCTCTATTCTTTGTGCTGAATTTTCTGTTATGCAAAGCCACTAAGAACTTAAGTCTACTTATTTCTAGTTCTTGGAATTAGATTTTTTAATGATATATTAAGAAGATAAAAGTAATTAGAAATCCTGTTCTCTATTAGCATCAGTCCTACTAAAGGCAAATAGCATTTATCTATATCCATTTAACTTTAACCACCAATCCTAATCTAGTGGCATCTGTCGACTTAATTAGCACATTCTCTACTTTGTCTTCCAGATTTTTTATAAAGATATTAAACAAAATGGGACCCAATATCGATCCTTGTGGGACCCTACTGGAAACCTCTCCCCAACTAGACGGACTACCAATTACGATTTCTCTCTGTATACGGTTAGATAGCCAGCTTTTAATCCATTTTCTTGTATTTCTGTTGGAACCATTTTGTTTAGCTGTTCCCTTGAAAAGATTGTATGGCGTCTTTACTGATAACCAATAGATTTGTATCCTGAGAGTCTTGGGGATAAGTCCAATGTTTTCATAAGGCTCTCCTCGTGAGGTTTTCCTGGGTTTGTTTTTTAATATAGCTTTGACAAACCTAAATGTCAGTGTTCCATTCAGTCATTGTTCTGCAAGAGAAAGAAACCAAACAGATCATACTTTGCGATTCCTTTTCATTTGCATTGACAGGATAGTGTGTCATTATATGCTCTGGCTTTTCTTAGTTTTCCTGTTTGTTTCTTTCAGTTAACGGAGTAAGTGGAAAGTTCTTCTGTTGGTTTGCTCAAAACTCAGAAACCTGCATTTGCTGGCTTAGATTATTTGTGTCAAAGAAGATTATGTTCGCATCAAGTCCTTGTTTATTGTTATTTATTTTACAGATAAGTGTTGTTTTGACAGATCCAGCACAATAATAATGATAAGTAAGCGGCAATAATTGAGACTATCCCCTATGGAAACTCTTGACTTAAATGAATTCCAAACAAAGGCTATTTTTGACTAACACTTGTGAATCTGAATCTTCGTGTGTATGAAATTCCTAACTGGCAAGTTGTTACACATATTGCCCTTCAAATTGGAGAGGGAGAGGAGGAAATGGAAGATAAGGATGATAATTGTCACTCATCTATTTTATCATCCATTACTTGTGCAACTCCAGATTTTTTTTTCTTAATTTGTATTTCTTGGGAAGGCAATAAATAGTATTCAACACTTGTGACTCTTTCCTATGAGGACTTGATGCTTAAGTATTATTCTCTTTCTTATTTTTTTGGTACAGATCTTAAATTCCTTGATAACTAATTTCTAATACTGTTGGAGTGGGGGACAGATGTGATAAACCTATCAAATTGCTACTTTGTTTTGGTATTTTAGGTTTCTTTTTAACTTCTTGTGTTATAAAGTGAACATGGTCTGATAAGTGGTTTTAGGTGGATTCCAGGAAGATATATTTGAGACTTTCTTAATCACTATTTTAGTCCTAATCCTCTAATGTCTGCTCTCTCAGACAATCTCATTTATATGGTTCCTGCTGTTTTTGTTTTTAACTTTACTCCATTTGTTGAAATTGAAGTAGACTGATTTGGCTATGCAAGATTCTGGGTGGAATGCTAATCATTTAGAAGAAGAGATATTTGATAGTTGGAGTCTGGGTTAATGATGAATATGATTGAAGAATGTTGTATTTTTTTTAAATCAAAGTCTAAGTATACTATATGATTGGTATAATGACTAAGCATTGTTCCAGGAAAATTCTGAGATCATGGGGATATTTTAAAGAACATGTGTTTCTTTGGTCCATTAAACTTTCAGTTAATGTCTTGAGTCAATGATAGTCTCTGATGGCATGACCTGAGCTCACATTTGTCAGGAACTCTATTTCATAAAACATGCTGTGAAAGAGAATGCTCACTGGTTTCTATTGAAATATAAATCTTTAATGTCTTCTGTTTTGGTAGGTTTTTTTGGGGGGATTGGGTATGTCTCTATTCTATTCTCTTAATTCTCTTGTACGTTCAAATTTAGAGTGTGAAGTAAGGGCTGGTATTCAGCAGTTCAGGTAATGAGCATTGATCAAACCTTTATTTTATTTTATTTTTTAAAGATTTATTTATGCATGTAAGAGCTGGTATACAGGCCAGAGATATGGGGGTTGAGAGGATTCACCAGAGACAGAGTGGAACACAGAACAGGCAGACTGACTGAAATACACTGCTGAGGGGAGCAGCAGGCGAGTCAGGAGAGGTCTGCTGCTCTATGTGGGTTGCTCCCTGGCCAGCTGGGGATGGAACTTGTGCTGCAGAGGCTGTGACTTGCTTCACAGTGCGGTGCTTAACCCCTTGCGCCACCAGGGAGGCCCAAGCCTGTCCTTTATTAAGCACCAGAATATGTGATAAAGCTCAGAGACTCTGGGGGAGATGCTGGCTTTAGAATTAGATTGACCTGGACACTCAGGCCTGGTCTTTTATGAGCTGGGTAGCATTATACATGTTTAACCTTCCCATCCTTCAGGTTCCTCAGCTGAAAACTGAAACACTAATTTTGTTTAATGGAGCCTATGAGAGAATTAAATGAGATAATTATGTTAAGAACTTTATATAGTGCCAGGCAAAGAGCACTTAAGAAATCATTGCTATTATTTTGGAGATGATACCAGGGAGTGTGTATCTTTTTGTTTTTCTTTTTTGAATTTTAGCTCTAGTATTATTTTTCTAATTATAATCCAGTTCATGATCATTTTTTAAAAACTGGGCAAAAGACAATAAAATTCACCTATACCCCCAGGCTCCAACATAATCATTGATAACACTGCTTTCATTCACACTCAGTGACCTATTTTTATATAAATAATTAGGCTCTACTATTATGAACATTACTATTTTCCACTTAGCTTATATTTTTACATATGTTTGTAGTATATAATGACTGTATAATTACAAGGCATCTTACTGAATGCATTAAATCTACCACCGTTAAATATTTACCTTGTATTTAAGTGGATTTCCATTATGAACAATTTTAAAAAGGAATCCCATTGTGGACACGTTTGCACACCATTGATTCCTGATAGTTCTCTTAAAATGAATTTCTGGGTCAAAAGGATGTCCCTTTAAAATGGTGACATATTGCAACTGGTTCCTAGCAAGTTCTGCTGTTGGTTACACGCCTACTAACATGTATGAGAGTGTGGCAATACACACACACACACACACTCAAACACATACACATGTACACATGTGTACATGTGATCTCACGAATATCACCCAGCCCTTAAAATGATGAAGAAACAGAAAAATAATATTTATCTGTGCCCAATTGTGAAACGTGTTAGAGGCATGGAGTCAGGAAAATCCGAACATCCCAGTGCAGTTTCTCTCCTTTCCATGCCAGACTCAGGGAGACTAAAATAACCATAGAAAAATGATATAAAACAACCCCCAGTTCATACTGAGCCTGGGCAGCATGCAAGCAGAGACAATATCCGGACAAGTGAAATTCAGAGAATTTTCCACCACTATCTTGAGCAAATTGGGATAACCCAATAGCCAGATCTTTATCAAGATGGACCATCTGAACAAAGAAATTGTGTGGCAACAATGAAGGGAAACTACCGGTGGGGGTTGGGGAGGACTCAGCTTGCAAAGAACAGACAGTGACTCCCTTATTGGGGAAAAAAACAACAACAATTAACTTTAGGATAAGAATAAATTTAAAAAATCTATTATAAAAATTTGTTTCTCTCACCAAAATTTTGAGAGTATGCAACAAATGATCAAGTATGAGATGGTAAATAAGAGGTGATTTAAAAGGCAAAAATGAAAGCAAAGCAATCTTCATAGGACCACTTGAATCTAAAACAGTAGAAGAGAAAATCAGTGTGGCAAAAAAATGCAAGGCAGTAACACAAAGTTCAAGCTACAGAAAATCATATAAAGGAAAAAGGGAGAAATGGCTGAAGAGATCAATAGCTGAAAACCAGTTAGAGAACTGTTATAAATATATGGAACAGGGACAATGCACTTAGCATACAGAGGTGTGTTAGTGAGGTATAGAATAGCAAAACTATTCGTATCTGATGTCAGTAACTTATACTACTTATAATAAATACTGTTTGAGTAACTACTCTGCACCTAGACACTTTACATATATAATATCTGGAATCCTTATTGTAGTGACTGGAATTCTTATTGCAGTAATTATAATTTTATAGATGATTAGTTGAGTTCCAGTGAGCATAATTAATTTGCTTGAGGTTAGACAGCTAGGAAATAGTTGAACCAAAATTATGACTAGAGGCTACTCTGTTAGCTGCATTGCTGTGCATTATATATTTATATATAGCTGTAATGAAATGAATCAGTAAGCCAAAAGGATATACTGGTTTTCAAGATCAAAATGATACAGTCTCATCACCACTTTACTATATCCTTCTGAAATTACTTCCAGTCAAAAAAACTGAATGATCTACAAGGAAAAAGATTGGCCTCCATCCACTCCACAGCTTTATTAAATTTTATAAGACAATGAAAAAAAGTTATCGGTTTATGAGGGGGAGAATATACAACCTGAGAATATTATTGATATGGAACAGAAAAGAAAGACTTAATCCCCAAGGTGCAAAGTCTTAGGGAACATTGCAGTAATGAGTCCTTATTTTTTAAATAATAGCCTAGTTGAACAATCTAGCCCAAAAAGGTATAAACTAATAACTTTAGAATAAGGAAAGCCTGTAGGCATGCTAGCATTTAGAACTAACAAAAGCATTCAAAAAGAACATTCTTACCATTTAAGTCAAACAACTCTAGAAATTAAGGATATAGAATAAAACATAATTGATATATTTTTAAACTAGATAATGAAGATATGTTAAAAAATCAAGACAATAATCTAATAATGTAAATCAAAATTATAAATGGTTCAGATCAAGGAGGGAGAAAGTGTTTTCTAATTTATAGAAATCAATATTTCCTCTTATTTTTACAGTTCATAAATCAATAACTTGAATAGTAAGAATATATTTAAAATTAACATAGGTAATTATGACAGGGTTTCTCAAAGCATCTACTGTAGAATCTCCTGGATTCTTGCTTACAAATCGATACCATTGAGATGTAATAAACCACAGTCATCCATGGGAAAATGGAGGAATCTGCATTTCTTTAAACACTTATTTATGCACACAAGAACTGGGGTACAGGCCAGAGGTGTGGGGGTTGAGAGGATTCACCAGATACAGACTGGGAAACAGAACAGGCAGACTGACTGAAATACACTGCTAAGGGTTGTAGCGGGGAGACACGAGAGGTGTGCTGCGCCATGTTGGGTAGCTCCCTGGCCAGCTGGGATTGAACTCACGTGCTACAGTGGCTGCTGATAGCCTCACAGTGCTATGC